GGCAGTTCAAACCCACCAGCCACTCCTCGGAAGGAAGGTTGGGCAATCCTACTTCCGTAGTGATACTGCCTCGGAAACCCAAAGAGGGGTCGCTATGAGTCGGGTTTGACTCGATGGCACATAACAACAACAACAACAACAGAAGTGTGAAGGAGCTCTGGTGGCTTAGTGCCTAAGGTATCTGACTGCTAACCAGAAGGCTAGCAGTTCAAACCCACCAGCCACACAGCAGAAGGAAGACTGGGCAATCTACTTCCGTAAAGATTCGCTGCCTTGGAAACCCAAAGAGGGAAACCCAAAGAGGGTCACTACGGTCAGAACCGACACGATGGCAGTGAGCTTGGTTTTGGATTTTGGGAGTGTGAAGATGCAGAGTCCCTGGCCCAGCCCTCAAGCTTCTGATTCAGGAGATTGGGGAGGGGGCCTGGAAATCTGCTTTGCTATCTAACTTCTCTCCTTCAGCTCCTACTACGAATGGATAGACTATTCCCTCCCAGGTGAGACAGGAGTTTGGCTGGGAAGAGTAGAAGAGAGATCTGGAAGCAGGATGAGAGGTTTACTTCATTTTGCTCTGAGTGTGGAACGCTTGATCATCTGGATGGCCTTGTGTGAAGGAGTGAGTAGAGAGGGAAAGGCTGAAAAACGGTAGACATTTCTTTCCTGCCACTGTGCAAAGGCTGGCTGAGTGTTGAGTGGGAGGTTCCTTTGTGATTAGGGACAAAAGAGAGCTCTACAGTGACATCACCACTAAAAGCAGCTAGGAAGAATCTTCCGAGAAATATTTTGAGGGACATCATAAAGAAGTTCTGAAGTGGTCCTGCTTCTGCCCTCTGCACTGTGGCAGAAGTAAAGAGAGCCTACCTTCAGGGAGTCCCAGTGGAGCTTCCTGGCTGTGAAACCTTAGGCAAATCACTTAACCTCTCTGAGCCTCACTTTGCTCATCAGAAGGAGAATAATTTGCATCTTACCTCCCATTGTATGACACAGTGGTTAAGATCATAATAAATGGCCCTTGGACATCCTGCAAGGCTGGATCTGAACTCAACCCCTTGGCTCAACTTTCAGCCAAAGGGCAGACAGGCCTGTAAGGTGAACAATAACACTAGGGAGGTGCCACTCCTTAGAGCAATCAACCATACAGATCAAAAGGGCAGCATTTGCCCAGGAATGAAGCTCAGAGGCGGGAGGGGATAGGAAAGAAGGATGAAGGGAAAGGTAACGACCTGGAGGAAGTGGGAAGAGTTACACTGTGGGGATTGTAGTCAATGTTACAAGACAAAATGTGTACAAACTGTTGAATGGACACCCAATTTGCTCTGTAAACTTTCACTCAAATCACAATAAAAACCATGTATATCATATATACATACATATAACTGTATCTATAACTATCGTCATCGTCGTTATGTGCTGTCGAGTCAGCCCCGACTCATAGCGACCCCTCCTTGGGTTGCTGAGGCAGTATCAGTACGGAAGTAGATTGCCCAACCTTCCTTCTGAGGAGTGGCTGGTGGGTTTGAACCGCCAGCCTTCTGGTTAGCAGTCAAGTGCCTTAGGCACTAT